TAGATCAGGGTACAACTTCTTGTGATTTTTGGGCAGATCATGTAGAATAGAATGTAATAGATGAAATGTGTAATTTAAATATGTTTTCAGCAGTAATGTCACCTCTACATGTTAACGCGATCGGAACAAAATACCTAAAAATTATTACAGATATACGATTATTGTTGGTACCAATATAAAACTTATCTTACCTCAGGACAACAGGAACGCAACATGAAACCAGAGCATTTCGATCGCGTTACATGGTACATACATATATCGATGCATACATTTGTCTAATCTTCCCACTTTGTGCCACTGCTGCAAGTATAGCCTATCAGAACTTTGCCCTTCATGGTTATATCTGTTTGTTACCTACCAACTAACATTACATTACAATTGGGAGATCCAATATGATAGGGGTTGGGTACACATAATGATAGAGGCTGTAGCTATGGGCATTTAGTTTAGAGTTGAACTTTTCGCTTGCTTTTCTATGTCTCAGCTGACTGTGCATTTTCCTGGGATTTATCTTATTGATTAGTTAGTTCCATTCCAGAGATCCATTGGCTGCTTCAAGGGACGGCTCTATTTCCTCTGTTTAGCAGGTTAGCACCGTGTATGATTTTTTTTTCGCAGGAGCTCTAATAAAATGGCTAATATACTTTCTTAAAAATGCATATATACTTGCATAAAAAGCCTACGTAAAGTAACACCAGAGTTTTAAGGACATACCACTGTCTCTACACAAATTCGAATATTTTGAAACTCAATTAAGATCTTGCCCATATTGATTTTTCCCATTTTTCCAAGTCCCTGTTTGTTTTGCATTTGAACATAATGGCTAATGGCTTCATATGCATCATAGGTCCTTAGTTTTGAGCCTGGACAAATCCCAGTTGCATAGATGCTAAATTGGAATTGTTGTATTTGACATAAGTAACTTAGATGGGAAGATCATTAGTAGCATCTAGCATATGTATATATGAGTTTGTTCCTATAACAAACCCTTCTCTATTCTATGAAATGGGCACAATCTCTTGCTAATTCTATGCTTTTCTCATTTGAGATACTGACATATTGCTTCTGTATTTTTAATTTGGCCTCATTGTCTTCTATGCCTATATAATATATAGTGATCAAATTTAGGATCTTCTTTGTTGAGATTGGTTTATATGTACTTTTCTAGCTTTTGCAGGCCTATTCTTTACCTTGCAATGCAACTATTCGTGTTTGAATGTCTTCTGAGATGCCTGATTACTTGGACCACATCCTCACGAGAAATAACAAGTTGTGACGACACTCGTAGATTGTCAGTATGCACTTGTGATTCTCTTCACATTGTTCAAGTTGAAACCTTCTAGGATCATGCTAATGGTTCTAGTATTAAGCTTGCGTCTTGGACATGCCTGTTTCTGTCAGCACTACTCGATGAAATGGACGGCAGCGGGGGAGATGGTGACCGGTGATGGCAGCCGTCTCAGGGGATCAAAGAGGCTCAAGACAACGACGTCAGTGACAGCACAAGGTCCACAGCATGGCCAACGGTGCAATCCAAAACCAACAAGAAATCAGTCTATGATGAAGGTAACCGAGGTTGTTTTGTTCGCATGTAAACCCCGTTTGTATGCACAGTAGGCTAGCTTCGATGCCTGCCTGATCCCGGACATCAACATCACCTGAACGTTCTGTATTCTGAATGTTTTTTTTCTTTTTTTGGTTATTATATGCTTTGTGCAGGCACCATGTAAGAGGAGCCAGAAGCTGGGGGACAAAATCACAGCGCTTCAACAGCTCGTGTCTGTCGAGGCCGTGTTCCGCCACCGTGACGCAGCCTTCACGGAGGATCACTGGCACTGCCTCGGCACTCTGTAGCCGGCCGGAGAATGCTGCCATGGTTCGGTTGGTAGACGGTAGGAGTACGAGACATCAGACATGGCATCGACGGTTGCCGGCTGGTGTCATCAGGCCTTCAGTTACAGTGTTAGAACTCAATTTCACTTGGAAAGATAAAAATTACTCATACGCTTTTTGAGGTTATTATTATAGTATGCCTGATTTGAATTATATAACAAGTTGTGACGGCACTTATAGATTGTCAGTATGCCTGATTTGAATTATATATGTTCTCGTCAGATTTAAATTATATATATATATATATGTTCTGGTCGAATTTGAATTGTAAATTTGATTTTTTTTAACGAAAAAATATACTGTAGGGACGGTTGGTACTGTAGCCGCCCCTACAAATCGATTTGCAGTAATTTGGTGTTATAGGGGGCGGCTACAGTACCAACCGCCCCTACAAATCAATTTGTAAGGACGGTCCGGGAACCGCCCCTACAAATGCATGATTTATAGAGACGATATGGTAGGGGCGGCTGGCTGAGCCGCCTTTATAAACGATCTGCAGCCGCCCCTACCAAGCGTTTTTCACGTAGTGGGAGGCGACGCCTCCCAATCTCTTCTTTAAGTGTGTACGGACGCGGACGCGTGTGTGCGTGTGGTGTGAGTGTGGAGTGTGTGGGTTGTGTGCGTCTAAATTGCACCCGATCAGAAAAAACGATGAGACGGTTAGGATTGAACTAGGAACTTCTCCCCAAACTTGCTTTCCTCTCCAGAAATTTTAGGGTACACGTGGTACTGTGTTTCCCGCGCACTGGAGGCGACGCCTCTCAATCTCTTCTTTGCGTGCGTACGGACTAGAGGCGACGCCTCCCGATCTCTTCTTTGCGTGCGTACGGAGACGTACGCGTGTGTGCGTGTGATGTGAGTGTGGAATGTGTGAAGTTCAAATTGTACCCGATAAAAAAACGATGAGACGGTTAGGATTGAACTGGCAACTTCTCCCCAAACTCGATTCCCTCTCCTATCTCGAGCCTTCCTGTTATTCTTCTTCTTCGATTCGACACTGTTTCCGTTTCCTTCTGTGGATTGCTGAGAAGTAGGGCCTGTTTGGTTCTATAGAAATCGGATGAATTGGAACTGTTTGCCAAAGGTGGCCTGTTTGGCTGCCCACCGAATCAAAAAGTGAAATTTGGATCGTTTCCACAGTCCGAAGTGAAATTTGGATCGTTTCCACAGTCCGAATCAAACGCCCGCGACAGATTCTTGCCCGCTGAGACCGAAAATGATTCGCGAGCGCATCCTCTCTTCCGTCTCGCCTCTCTCCTCCCCCGCAAGCAAAAAGGCCGCCGAGAGCACGATGATCCGGCGCCCCAAGTTCAACCAAGCGGGCTCCAGCTGCCCGTCTGTGACGCTGAGGTCGGCCTGAACCTGAACCCTCCTCTGCGTATAAGAGGCGGAGCTGTAAACTGAGGATTAAGGAAATAACAGAAAACCCAACTACTTCCCTGAATTCTCTCTCCCTCTTCTACCTCAGGCCTCTGTTCTTCCCCAATTGCTGTGCTCTCTACCCCGGATTCCTCTATCTATCTCCATTTCGGTTGTGGTCAGCCGTGACCATTACAATTGGTATCAGGAGCCTTCGATTCTTGGAGGGGAGAATTTTTTTTTCTCTCGGATTGGTGAAGAATGGCCTGGCGCCGAAGAAGAAAGCACCCTCGTTGCAGGCTCGCATGGCGCAGCACATCGACAACCTCGCGTCAGCTGATGATGCAGCAGATGTTGGACAAGATGAACGGCTTCGAGGCATGGAGGACGACCACCGACACTTCGCTCGGGTTGTTGCTCACCAAGACGACGGAGGCGGTCGCAAAGATCAATCAGATAACCATGATGGTCGTCCAAGATCACAGTTGAAAGGGAATTTAAGACCATGTACAGCCAAACAAGAAAATTGAATTGAAACAAATTTGGGTCAATCCATTCTCGTTGAATCCAATTGCTAGAATCTGATCCCTAGAATGCGATTCAATTCTATGGATCCAAACAAGGCCTCGGAGGAATTGGAATCATAACAGTGAACATCATAGCGTCAGCAACAAATCAAGAAACATAAAAAGCTAAATCAAGGGGACTCTCGAGAGCCCTCACATTGAAGGTGAGTGTATTTTAGAAGAAAAAATAGGCAAAAACGAGCAAAATAACTAATTGAATCAAGAGACCTCATCTCCAGCGACCTCTTCTTAGCATGGAAGGAATCATCTCCAGTACAACTTTGAAATGGGAAGATAAATTTACATTAGAATAGTATATGGAAGAACAAAGCTTGGCACAAAACATAATGAAAAAAAAAGAACAAAGAGGAATGAAACTAAAGACCAGAATCACTCCAAGCAAATACTGAAATGGTTACATTGAAAGATGCTGGCCCCTGACTATCACCAATGCTTAACTCCATACTGATTTTCCAAATCAGGGCTGTCAAGACACTCAATACACAAGTATATCCACCTCGTGCAAATTCCTCACCTTGTTTTCCAATACGAAATGGTAGTGGTAGCACATCAGTTTGTAAGACTGTTCTGCAATTCACTGAGTGCTGCCATCCGCAATGTCAGTACTCCAGCAGTAGGACAAGGAAGATCCATCTGTCTGCTCACTGCTGTCTTGAAATTTCATGCAGAAGTCGTAGCTTTGATAAAAGCTTCGTAATGTTACATGACAAAAACTAAGTCCAATGGTACCGAGTCAGTGAAGTAGTCGCAATCAAGAGAAGCATGCAAGCTGATTAGTCTACTACCACTGCACAATGAGATGCACGTCACTTTCGCCAAGGAGCATCTCTTCTAACCAAAATATGAATGATGATACTTGAACAGCTAAAGCCCCAGAGAACATGGAAGATGATAACAGTAGCATATGCAGTTATGCAACCGAATTATTGCTACCAGGGAAAAAGTTACAAGGATTTCAGTACAGCGCCTCACTAAGTTGCTAACATCCCTAAGAAAACTGTTTTGGAAGGAAAGAAAGGTTGCCATCGCCAACCATTCAGAAAGAACACCTGTAAAATACCAAACCAACCATAAATTGAAAACAACGACCAGAACACAACCTTAACAAAACCAAGACAAAATGATGACAGTTGTGATACTTCATAACAGATGAGTGATATTCTATGACACAGATAACTAAAAGACATTCATATAACAGATGGTAATTTACCATTTTACCCAGAGTACTAGTAACAAAGACAAGTAACCAAGTTCAGCGAGGAAAGGCAAGATGGATGTTCTTGACCAAACCACATGACAAATTGATGTTCTTGACCATTATCCGTAGTGATTAGGGAAGGCAAGACTCCATTGCCAACTCCAAGGCCCCGACTCAACTAAGGTCTCAAGGGGAAGAAACTTGTAACGACAGCAGCGACTACTGACACAGATGTACCCCACATTCAGACTGAACCTTGACGATGACGCTGGACCTTCTTGACCCTCATTACTGTTCTAGGACTCACTGTAACAGTAAGGACATGATATATCAAGCTATGCGCAAGCAAACATGAGGGCAAGAAAATGATTAAAAATAGTATTATAATTTATAATATATAATAACGCATGCAACTTAATGTTCTAAATAAACGTGTAGCAAATGTTGAAAACCATACAGAAGGTTCTGAAACACAGACCTGATTGTCCTGATCTGTCGCTGAATCATTTACATTGTTTGTCTGTGATGGCTTTTCCGCTCCACATTGGGGACGATTGCACTTTGTTCGGAAAGGATAGTTTATGTTATTGCACTGCTCACACTTCCAACTGCCCTCTGGCATCTTTGGTTCTATCAATGAGAGGTTGGGGTGTGAATTTGAATAGAATTGATGGAACAATAAATTACATAGACCATTAGATAAACTAGCCCATAAGTTATGTGCGAAAATCCAAAGAAAACAAACTAATTCCTTCAAAGAAATGTCTTGTGATAACAAAGATTACCAAAATTTACTAATTTAAAGGCATTTGTTATACACAAAAAAAGATCTGGTGAGGAAGGAGCACTAAGCACTTATGATGTGGAAACTTACTTGAGCCTCTTAAACCATCGGGCTTAGATCCCTGCACAAAGAGTTGATGAACAAGCAGTCAGTAAGTAAAGTGGGAATACTTGATGAACAAGCAATCTCTATAAACTACATATAGAAGCCCAAGCATTAGAAATGAAGATCCAGGTTTAGATGAAAGAGTACTTTTAGACAAAATATAGCCAAAACTTGTTTGCTTGTAGTTCACAAAATTATTCTAGTTTAGCTTGATAATACAACAGAGGGAGAAATTTGTATTGTTTTTTTCTAGAGTAACAAAACCTAGAATAAATTAGTAAATCCCAGGACCAAAGAGAAGGTGATCAACAAGTACTCAGATCCCCAATCAAAAAAAAAGTACTCAGATCCTGATGGTCCAATAAATGAAAAGGCATGCAAGTGGAACGATGGGCTATGGCAGGGCAAACTAGAGGATATATCTGGGAATAAACATGGTTCCACCAAACAGTTTACAACAGTAGTATACAATGAAACCATGTTCGCTCCAACCACACAAGTAATCTTGTGGCAGCAAAGTCAACTTCAAGCACAATTGCAAAGTTATAATAGTACAGTTCAACAAAAGTAAAGAAACATTGACTAACACAATTACAATTTTTTTAAATGATCTTAGTTTAAATACATGAAAGAAGTAATATCAGATCGCTTATAATAGCAAGATAAGACAGAAATCTCAAACCTGGTTTTCAGGTCTAGGTGTATTGCACTTTCTCATATTACAGACTGTGCGAAAGCCAAAGTTGATGTTGTGGCAATTTGGACACTCCCAATCATTATCACGGCCAGCTCCTGCATCAAAAGCTCAGGGGAATAGGCAAAGAATTAATCAAGTGCTAACCACATTAGTATAAATAAGTCAAAATACAAATTCAATAAGATATACCTGCAGGCTTCTTCTGAGAACCTTCATCAGAATATGAGCCAGCCCTTGTGCCCTTTCAAGTTCAAGAAATATGAATTTAAGGAATCATAACAGTTATTCCCATGCAGACACAATCACAGAAATCATAAATATCAAACAAAAAATGAAATAAAGTAGCAGAAACAAACGTGCTGAAAGTTCTTCATGTAAGCCAACAGTAGTTAAATTAGCATGAGGTAAGAGGTATACAGAAGAATAATCACAATAGCACATACCATTGGACCAGGACCAGCAGGTATTGGCCCATACCTGTCCATGGGCATTCCATACATTCCACCTGTTTATTGGACAATAAGCAAGATAAATCTTGTGAGCAAACATGTGGAAAACATTGGACTGTAAAACATGTATCAAGTGCCATAACCCCAACCAAAGTGGCTTAGAAAACAGGTGGCAGAACACAACAGTACTGCAAATGGTATTATTTACTGCCAGCATTTGTGGAAATGAAGATCGAGTGAAATGAAATTAGATTTTTCATATTCTGTAAAACTAATTGTTTAAACACTATGATTTGCATACAAGGAATTATTGGAAGCATCAGATTTGCCTATTTAATTTGATAGCTACGTTAATTAATGCAAGGGCAATATCAAAATATGGCATGCCTATCATAGATAGAAGCCCTGTTACCTGCTCCCATCATAGATCCACCAGAGTATGGAGTTGGCCCGGCCATTTGCATTGGCCCGTAGGGGCTCCCCATTGGTATGCGGCCACCATATCCATATGGATACGCAGAACCCCCAGGGAACTGCGGGATACCATAGCGCGCCATTGCAGGCCCGTTAAACATTGAGGAGCCATATGGGGGAGCACCCCCACCAAGGTACATCGACGGTGGTGTCCCTGGGCCCATGTAGCCCCCTGATGTGGGATAGTGAGGCGGGGTCTGCATAGGCTTCTGCATGGCCTTCTGAACGGGCAAGCAACAGCAGCACGAGGTAAATGCAAATGGGCAAGCGACAAGCGGAGGTACCCACAGGCACGCTCCACGCAAGCGACAGGCGAACAATGATCAGCAAGAATAAAGCAAGGCGAAACCGTTATGTACCGTGTGATCTGCTGGCCTGGACTGGTTGCAGTTGCGCATGTTGCAAGTGGTGCGGAAGGCGAAGTTGACGTTCTTGCAGCTGGGGCAAACCCAGTCGTCCTCACGCCGGCTGCCTGAGAACGAGGTTTATTGTCCCCCACCAAGGGGAAATCCACTCAGATGCAGCTTATAGATACGGAGGGCGCGACAGGAAATAACTTGGCGGCGGAGCCAGAGCAACCTACCGTCGGTGCGCGCGCGCTTCCCGGCGGACTGGCTGCGGCTGTCGACCTGCAAACCCACACGCTAATTGGTGAGACCTCGCCGGATGGGCGGGATCCAGAGGGGGATCGACGAGCACAGCGCGGGGAGCTCAAATAGCAAAACTAACAAGCTTCCAGCGCGACTGGTGGGCGGCGACACAGACTCGAACCCTAATCGATCGGCGTAATCGAGGAGGACGAGGAGGTGGGGGCGGTACCTGAGAAGACATAGCTGGCGGTGAGCCGGTGATGGCGGCGGCGGGCGAACGGCGCGGCGAGAAGCACGTGCTCCTTGCACCGGGAGGGACAAGCGCAGACACCGCCGCGGTGACGGGCGGAGGAGGGGGAATTCGGCGAAGCAGTAGCTAGGGTTTTGCAATTGCAGTTGTGAATTCGGCTTCGAACTCAGGTGCACATCAGATTAGTTTTGAGACTTTTTTCTGTGTGCCATTATAAAAAATCGTGATCCTCTACGTGCCCCTGAAAAAATTCAGCGGTCTTCAGCGCTACTACTTCAACTTTTTCGGGTCCTCCATGCCACTTCCGTCAGTTCAGGCTCTAACGCCGTCAAACTACAGGTGTGAAAAGACGAAAATGCCCTTAAGTTCAAATATGTTATTAATTTTTTTGAGCATCTTAACGACTTCAAATGAAAAAACTCAAAACTAGAAAGTTGTAGATCTCGTCGAGATCTATAATTGTCATATAAAAATTATTTTCATTTAATTCCGTAAAAAAAATATGATGATTTTTCTAAGATATATTAATCATATCAAATCATATTTTTTTTGCGGAATTAAATGAAAATAATTTTTATATGAAAATTATAGATCTCGACGAGATCTATAACTTTCTAGTTTTGAGTTTTTTCATTTGAAATCGTTAAGATGCTCAAAAAAAATTAATAACATATTTGAACTTAAGGGTATTTTTGTCTTTTCACACCTGCAGCTTGACGGTGTTAGAGCCTGAACTGACGGAAGTGACATAGAGGACCCGAAAAAGTTAGAGTAACGACGCTGAAGAACGTTAAATTTTTCCAGGGGCACACAGGGATTACGATCTTTTATAATGACACACGGCGGAAAAGTCTCATTAGTTTTTGCCTCCGCCGTCCGTGTCGGCCGATGTACCTGACGCTGACGGAGACACGGGACGAGAACTCGGACCACAAGGCGGGCCCAGATGAGAACTTTAGGCCCAGATCAGATACGTGGGCCCTTCTAATCTCGCGGGCAAAGATGTTCTAGCCCATTACAAATTCTGTTGAAGTTTTTTTTTTGGAAAAAAAATCATTTCACCTCTAAACTACTGTCATGGTCTGATTTTTCTTCTCAAACTAAACTCTCAGAACCACTCAAATTTTATTCTTATTTTGGTTTCAAGTGGTTTAGGTGGCTTTGTCTTCTTTATTAAAAAATTGATTTTAAACCACATAAAATGTCTCCAGACTCCAAAGCTTGTTGCATGGTTGCATCTTATGTTTTCTTTGTGGTGGAACATTTTCAAACACATGTGCCTGTTGCATTGTTGCATCTTATGTATTCTTTGTTGTGGAACATTTTCGAAACATGTTTAGACATTAATTAGATGTTTTGTGAATTTTCTAGATTTTTCTCATATTCTTAGAGCTAAATCTAACTTTTGTGAGATATTAAATTGTAGTTCGTTTTTTTTCGTTTTGTTGGTAGCACTGCGTTTTTTAAGAGATGTTAGTGACCAAGAGAGTGAGCACAACACTTTGGGCCCATTCGCGTGCCCTTAAACCTGGCTTTGATCCGCTTCTTTTTTCATCCGGAACAGTGTTTTCCTCTCACAGATTTGTCCAGATTCCTTCAAGCGAACGGGGCCTTTGCGTTCTCGCTCGCTCGCCTCAGTTCACATTCACCAGTTGCCAACCTTTGATGAAAGGAGAGCTACTGCATCTTTCCTGGTCTTCGCTTGCTTTTGAGCCTTGGACCTCGCTCGCCGCCCCTGTGAACTGTCACGGGCCTTCCCTCCGGCGCCTCTCCTTTCCCCTCCCGGCTGCCGTCTCCTCACACACACTTGCACGGCATGGACGATGGCACCATTCTGCTCATCGATCGCCACATGTTCGACTATATATTCCATACCTGCAGCTCGACGGCTTCGTTCTCATCAACTGTCTCGAAGCATCTAGTCTAGCAGTGGCGCAATGGACTCTGAGGACGAGGAGCAGGGCTCATCGCCGGAGTCAGATCCCCCGCCGCCTCCGTCGCCGTCGCCATCACAGCGGCCGCTGCTGCTGAACCCGGCGTACGCGCAGTGCAAGTCGGTGATCCACGACGAGCTGCGCAGCTTCCGCGTGTTCCTGCAGTGGTGCGCGCTGGACCACAGCACCCGCGCGGGTCGCGCCGCCTCGTACGCGGTGTTCGTGGCGCTGGCGCTCCTGGTGCCCGCCGCGGTGTCGCTGTCGCTCCTCGCCGACGCCGCGCTGTCCCCGGCATCGGCGTCCGCCATCACCTTCAACCGCGTCGCGCAGGCCCCCGCCACGGGGCTCGCCGTCATCTCCTTCGCCACGCTGGCCGCCTTCTTCCGCCGCCTCGGCGGCCTGCGGAAGCTGCTGTTCCTGGACGGCGCGCTCCGCGACGACACCGCCTTCGTCCGGCGCGGGTACGCGCGGGAGCTGGACCGCGCGTTCCGCACAATGGCCGCGCTCCTGCTCCCGTCGCTCTGCGTGGAGGCCGCGCACAAGGCCACATTCTTCTTCTGTACCGTCAGGGTGGAGCCGCCCGCCGCGGTGGCATCGGTGTTTCCCTTCAGCATGCTGCTGCTGCCGTGGCGCGCGGTGGCGCTGGTCGCCACGGTGGCGTCGTGGGTGTACCGCACGGGGGTGTTCCTGCTGGTGTGCGTGCTGTTCCGCCTCACCTGCGAGCTCCAGATCCTGCGCTTCGAGGGCATCTACAGCATGTTCGACGTGGAGGCGCGCCCCGCCGCCGCCGCCGAGATCTTCGCGGAGCACCGCCGCATCCGCACACAGCTGCTCGCAACCAGCCACCGGTACAGGGTGTTCATCATCTGCTGCCTCGTCACCATCACCGTCAGCCAGCTCGGCACGCTCCTCGTCGCCCTCTCGTCCAGGGACGCCAAGAGCTTCTCCAATACCGGCGACCTCCTGGTACGCACGCACGACACTACACACCACACCACGCGACGGCGAAGGCCTCGTCACTCTAAGAATGTCCCCTGAAACTACTAGGACTCGCGCTCGTGCGTTGAGTTGTTACGTGCAGGTCGGCTCGGCGGTGCAGCTGAGCGGCTTCTTCATGTGCCTGCTGGGCGCGGCCCGGATCACGCACAGGGCGCAGAGGATGGTGTCCATCGCCAGCCAGTGGCACATGAGCATGGAGTCGTCCATGCACCACGGCAAATCGTCGTCGCTGGCCACCACGTCGGCCAGCGACGTCATCGACGCGTCGTCCGGCTCGTCGACGGCCGTCTCCCTGGCGGAGCCCGGAGCACCGTGCTCGTACAGGAGCAGACAAGCACTCGGTACGCATGCAATTTTTACTAAGCTTGTATGTATTTTCTTTGCTGCCCTGCTGCCACAGAGTCACAGAGTGAGACTGAGAGGCTGGCTTTTGCTGTGTGGGGCATGCAGTGACGTACCTACGGCACAACGGCGGCGGGATCACCCTGTTCGGCTTCACGCTGGACAGGCGCCTCCTCCACACCATCTTCGTCTTCGAGATGACTCTGGTGCTCTGGATCCTCAGCAAAGTCGTGGTGCTCTAGTACTACTAGGACTAGGAGTCTAGGACCATCCATGTGTATATATATACGAGCCACGACTGTCTGTCGCATAGCAATGCTACTACAATTTTCGCTCGCAACTGTACCTATATTGCCTATCGGTGCAAGTATAAATTCAGTCAAGACACAAGACTGCTTTGATTTACGAGTGATTATTCTCTCTTTTCTTTCTGAGAAACAGAGAACTTCTATTGATCAATCACAAGGTGATACAGTCCTAGAGAACCAAATGCTGGATCAACACAAAAAGGAAACATTTTAATGAGGAGCATGACCAGGCAATTTGCAAATCTGTACAAATGTTCAGTCATCACATTATGCGAGTCATGATGTCTCTGAATATTAGCGCTTAATAATGCATTCACACCTTTATATTCAGCCTTCTGGGGAACAGAATAATAAAAACGGCTTTCCTAGCGTCCGGACGTCCGGCCCGCGAGATGCGTCTAGACGCCGCTCCCGTCCGCAAACCCACCCACCCCGAAACGTAAAAAAACGAATAGAATTGCGTCCACCGCGCTCCTGTCCCCGTTCCCCACCACACCCGGTTCCCCCACCGCGCCTATGTCCCAAGAGCACGAAACACTTCAAGTGCAACGTCTCAAATTATGTAAACTATGTAGTGCAACATCGGAATATAAATACTGCAACGTTGCAAAACTATGTAGTGCAATATCGAAAATTATGTACTGCAACATCGGAAAAAAATATATACTACAACATCGAAAAATTATGTACTGCAACATCTCAAAAAGTAGTACTGCAACATCGCCAAATCAACCATGAAACATGAAATTGGAAACATCTCAAATCACCTTTCAGTGCTGCAACATTTGAAAAGGGTAATTTCAACAATTAGAATCGCTTGCCACAACACATAGATAAAGTTAAAACTCACAAGTTGCACATTAGGGGAAAAAATTACAATCCCAATATTAGAACTCCCTTTCTGCAACACATGAATCACCCTATTGCAACATTCGAAAATCATCTGTTACGGCATCCTAAAAATCCCCTTGCAACACGGAGAAACAGTAAACACAACAGCAAAGGGGATGGGTTCGAGGTATAGGCTACTCCAGCCCCTGGCCCATCACCTTCGAGCTCGTCGGAGGAAGAAGGGAATAGGACCCCAGATCTCGCCTGAACCCTAGCCACCACCGCGTCCCTCAGATCTAGAAAAGGAGTCAGAGCCGCCGCCGCCGTCCTCCTCGTCTACGGTGGGGGGAGCGGGAGCTGGGTCGCTGGGGGCACGGGGTAGCAATGGAGGTCATGGAGGGAGGGATAGCAGGCCCGGAGCTTGGCGCGGCCAGGACGACAGTGAGCGAACGAGTGGAGAGAAGCGAGCAGACGAGTGCGGTTTATTTTTTAATGGGGCAGGAAGGAGTGGAGGAGATGTGTCCGACACCTGGGACGTCTGATAAGAAACATTATCGATAAACAAAACAAACCACACCACCCCAGCCCTCACGCTGTTTGTTGCACTCCTAATCCGATTGCACCTGAGGATTTTGAACGGCTTGCTACTTTCGCTATGTGTAGTAGTAAGGCCCATTGAGGAGACAAACAGCAGTAACAGTACACAGCACAAGCATATAAAAGTGAACTGAAACAAGCTGCAGACCAGGGGGGACGAAATGAATAACCCTGTGATATTCAGTTTGCAAATTTTCCGAGGCAATTTTTTTTAGAATTCTCTAAGATGGAACCGATTTTAGGATTTTTAATTGCATTATTTTCCCTGTGAAAAATATTTAGATATCTTTCGAAATTCATTTTTATGATTTTTTTGATATTTTTAAAATATTTCTAGTCTAATTTAGCTCCTGAACTTTCAACTTAGTTCAATTTACTCCTTTAAGGAAGCGCCACATTAGCAAAAAAATACCCAAAGTACAAAAACAAATGGTTTTATTTTATTATTCACTGAGGAAAATCATATGACCGCGAGAGAAATAATTTGAACTTTTCCAAAAAAAAAATGAAGCCTGATAACCCAAAGGGAAATCGATCTAGCCTAGATCGGGCCCGTCTGTACCGTGGCCTTTTTCGGCCCATTCCGTCCTACTGCCTCGTTTCCTCCAGTGCGTTCCCGTCTGCCATATTCTGCTTCTGCTACTCGTCGGCGTGGTCGGGCGGCGTCCGTGGCGGCTGTCGGCGTGGAGGAAGTGGTGAAGGAAATGGTGAACCATGCTCGCATCAACTAGCACAGCAGAACTGAGCAAGGAGGCGGGCGGGCAGACCATGCCACCCTGCTGCCGGCAAGAGAGCATCCGACTACCGTGCATGCCCGACCACCATAGCTCAGAGAAGAACCGTTGAAACGACGACAACCTCGTGACCGCGACCTAAAATACAATACAAGACATATTCAATACAATATAAGGCATATTCGTCATTTAGATAGCGCTACAAGTAAATGATTTAATACCTATTTATTTTTGTTTTCTCCAACAATAAGACCTAAAAGACAATCTTTTCTGTAAATAAATCTTCAGAAGAGAGGATACTCAGATTTAGGTTACGCATTTACCGATATCTAAAATAAATCTTTCATATAGATACTTTATTAAAAACTATAGATATTATGTTGGAGAGCCATTTTGAATTTGGCTTCCGCAACGGATTTGCGGTTGGAGACAGCCTCGGAGAGCGCGCAATGCGGGCATCGCTATTCTTGGCCAAAACTAGCAGCCGCACCCCCCAAATCCCCCCCATGGCCGGCCCATGCCATGCGGACGCCTCTCATCTCTCGCCACCGTCCTCGCCGCACGCGCGTGGGTGCGTGCGTGCGCGCGGGGAGCTCCTGAATCCTCTCTCCTCCCCCTTCCCCGCCTCCCTTTCTCTCTCTTCGCGTCGACCTCCCGCTCTCCTCCCTCCCTGGAAAAAAACAGCGTGCCGGCCAGCCTTCCCCCCTCGCGCGCGCCCGGGAACAGAGGCCGCCCGCAGCATTGCCGCTGGCCAATTCACCCGCCGTCGTCAAGCGCTGGCGCCGGCGGGCTGGCTCCCTGGCACCGGCGCCGCGGCCGCCTTCGCGGACATGGCCGGAGTGCCATCGTCGCTGCTAGCGCGCCTCCTCTATCTCCTCCTGCTCCTGCTGATCGCTGACGCCGCGCGGCTCCCGCTGTCCCTCGCGCCCGGCGACGACGCCGCAGCCGCCGACTCGCTCCTCAAGCTCAAGGCCGGCATCAAGGACGACGGAGGCGAGCTCGGCAGCTGGACTCCCGGCACGAGCCCCTGCGGCGATGGCGACGGCAGGGGGCCCAGCTGGAAGGGCGTCATGTGCAACAGGGACGGCGTGCACGGCCTGCAGCTCGAGGGGATGGGCCTCTCCGGCACGCTCGACCTGCGCGCCCTCACGAGCCTGCCTGGCCCCGGCCTCCGCACGCTGAGCTTCATGGAGAACGAGTTCGCCGGCCCGTTGCCCGACGTCAAGGAACTCAGCGGCCTCCGCGCTGTCTTTCTGTCCGGGAACAAGTTCTCCGGGGTCATCCCCGCCGACGCGTTCGCCGGGATGGGCTCGCTCAAGAAGGTGGTCCTCTCCAACAATGACTTCACCGGCCCCATCCCGGCGTCGCTCGCCGACGCGCCCAGGCTCCTGGAGCTGCAGCTCAATGACAACAAGTTTCAGGGCAAGATCCCTGACCTGAAACAGGACGAGTTGACGCAAGTCAACCTCGCAAACAATGAGCTCGAGGGGGAGATCCCGGCGAGCCTCAAATCCATGCCACCCGACATGTTCGCCGGTGAGCAACATGGATTTCTAGTTTTCTACACCATGCCTGCATGATGTTCGTGCAATGTCCACGTGCAGCGCAGCCATATGATCTTGTTGTTGTACAATAATGCATGCAGGCAACAAGAAGCTTTGCGGCCCACCGCTTGGTGCCAAATGCGAGGCCCCTCCGTCGCCGTCGCCGTCGCCGTCGCCATCACCGAAGGCATCACCAAATGCGCCGCCGCCGGCCTCCGTCAAAGAAGGCACGACGCCGTCGCTACCAGCAGCGGACATCGTGGGGTCCACAGGCTCGTCGTCAGCTGACGACGCGAAGCAAGACGAAGGCCAGAAGCCCGCCGAGCGGGGCTCCACGTCCTTCGGCGTCCTCGGCGCGTTCCTTGGCACGCTTGCGATCGCCGGCGTGGCGTTCGTCGCGCTGCGGAGACGGAGGGGGTACAAGAACAAGAACTTCGGCCCGACCGCGTCGTCGGCTCGGCCCTCGGGGCCGCCGAGGGTCGAGCCGCACCCGCCGGCGGCGAAGGCCGAAGCCAGCGCGGCGCCGGCGCCCCCTGCCGCCGCAGCCGGATCCGTGGCGCGCGGCGCCGGTGCGGCTCGGAAGGTGGAGCAGGGGCGGCTGACGTTCGTCCGCGACGACCGCGGCCGGTTCTTCGAGCTGCAGGACCTGCTCAAGGCGACGGCGGAGGTGCTGGGCACCGCCAACCTCGGCGTGTGCTACTGCGCCACGCTCACGACGGGGCACTCCGTCGTCGTGAAGCGGTTCAAGGAGATGAACCGGGTGGGCAGGGAGGACTTTGAGGAGCACATGCGGCGGCTGGGCCGGCTCAGCCACCCCAACCTCCTCCCGCTCGTCGCCTACTACTACCGCAAGGAGGAGAAGCTCCTCATCCACGACTACGTCCCCAACCGTAGCTTGGCGAACCTCCTCCACGGTGAGTACTCTACTGTTCATCTCCTCCGTCGTCGTGATCATCGTCGTCACCAATCATCCCTCTAACCTTTGGCTGGCGGGATGCTTGATTCGCACAGGCGGCGGCGAGGGCCGCGGGATGAAGAAGGCGGCGGTGCACTGGGCGGCGCGGCTGAAGATCGTCAAGGGCGTGGTGCGGGCGCTCAGCTACCTGTACGACGAGCTGTGCATGCTCACGGTGCCGCACGGCCACCTCAAGTCGTCCAACATCCTGCTCGACGGCCACTACGAGCCGCTGCTGACGGACTACGCGCTGGTGCCGGTGATGAACCAGTCGCACGCCGCGCAGCTCATGGTGGCCTTCAAGTCCCCGGAGCGGAAGCAGTTCGGCCGCTCGTCCAAGAAGAGCGACGTTTGGTGCCTCGGCCTGCTCATCCTCGAGATGCTCACCGGGAAGCCGCCGAGCTACGACCTGCCCAAACCCTCGGGCGAGTCGTCGTCGTCACCGCAGAAGCCGGGTCCGGCTGCAGGCAACACCACGGACCTGGTGACCGTCGTGGGGTCGACGCCGGAGGGCGAGTGGCTGGACACGGTGGTGGACCCGGACCTGCGGGGCGAGGAGGAGGAGGACAAGGAGGAGATGGTGAAGCTGATCAGGGTCGGCATGGCGTGTTGCGAGACCAACGTGGACAGCCGGTGGGAGCTCAAGACCGCCATCGACAGGATCGAGGAGCTCAAGGCGAAGGAGCGCCCCGACGACGAGCAGGCCTTCTACTCGACGGTGAACGACGAGGACTACAGTGACGTTGCCATCAATTGATCATCGACATGAACCGGCCGGGAATCGATCAATAGGGAGGGACAGTGGTGTTGTGTGCATCAAGCTGATGAGCTCAAAAAATGTGAAACCATAAGCATAAACTAGTACGGTGTATTCTTATACTCCCTCCGGTTCTCTAAAACAAGTCGTTTTGAGGTGGTCTTAACTCAAACATTTTAAATTTTGACTATAAATAATTTCTTTTGGGTTGAGTTTCAAAATATAAAAGTGATATTGATTCATGCCGAAATGTGGTAGATTTTGGATCAAAGTCGTTTCTTAAAGAGAAACCGGAGGAGTAAGCGGTGGTAGACTTACTTATATATAATCACACGAACCTTAGTTTGCTTTTCTCAGTCACAGCAGTGGTTATTACTTGGGATTTTAGATTTCATCGCACACCACCGACCAATTTCCAGCAAACTCAACAGAAAACTATTACAAACAATTAATTATGTGAATGGAGGATCTATTTTGTGCAAATTATTATTAAAAATCTGTCCTTTGAATATTTCATCAACCTCACTTTTTTCACACATATAAACCATCATTATTAAAAATCTGTCCTTTCGAACAAAAATAAACCGTTAGAAATCACACGGAGATGTGGTAGATAAATGAGAGAATTCCTTATCTGACACCAGACAAATGACCTGTTCCTTTTCTGGCCCTCAAAAAATTTTCGTTCCCTATTTGACACAAAGTTCAACTTTCATTCCTTACATGACACTCTGTTGCATTTTCCATCCGGCCACCGTTAACTGCGCTGCGAAAAGGCGATTTTGCCCCTGTGGGCCTCACCACCCTTCTCCCTCTCCTCCTCTAGGCCGCCGCGTCCTCCCCCAGCCTACGGCCGCGCCACCTGAGGAGAAGGCCGCCGGCCGTCCCCGCCGCTGCGGCCGGAGCCCCCTCCCTCCTCCGACGAGCCGCACCACCCTCCTCCTCCCTACTCCGACGACCCGCGGCGCCCTCCCCTAGCTCCCTCCGCCGGCGAGCCCCCTCCCTGCAGTGCCCACCCGCGGACCACCGTGCCCCTGCCGCCCGCCGCCGCAACGAGCTCCTCGAACCTCGCCAGGAGCGGCGCCGTGGGGCTAGCCGCCCACACGAAGGCCACCCGTGTCCGCTCTAGCGCCGCGGCCATCGCTGCCGCGTGAAGCTCCTGCAGCACCGCCATGCTCCCGAAGCAGACGTACACGATGGAGGCTTTGGCGAACCCGTTGAGCCACGCACACAGTTCGGCTGCGGCCGCTGCCGCCTCCCCGCCGCGGTTGCCCGCAGCGTCGGCCATGGGAGCCAGCGGCCCGTCCGCACGCGCGTCGGAAGCCCATGTCCACCCGTGGCGCCTCCAGGTACCGCTCTCTTCGTCGGAGCAGGCAGGAGGAGGGTGGCGCGGCTCGTCGGAGGAGGGAAGGGGCTCCGGCCGCAGCGGCGGGGACGACCGGCGACCTTCTCCTTAGGTGGTGCGGCCGCACGTACATGGAGGCGGTGGCCACGGGCTGGGGGAGGACGCGGCGGCCTAGAGGAAGAGAGGAGGGAGAAGGGTGGTGGGGCCCACAGGGGTAAAATCGTCTTTTCACAGGGCAGTTAACGGTGGCCGGATGGAAAATGCAACGGAGTGTCATGTAAGGAATTAAAGTTGAACTCGGTGTCAAATAGGGAACGAAATTTTTTTGAGGGCCAAGAAAGAAACGGGTTATTTGTCTGGGTGTCAAATAAGGAATTCTGTCTAGATAAATTGGTTAGCTCGGACAGTCGGGTAGCTACTTGATTTCATGGGCTATACATTCTTACGGGCTTCGGCATCATTGGGCCCTGCAAGAATAGCTCAGCCTATCGTAATATTATACTTTAGGCCCTCAAGTATTGGGTTGGTCTAATTTTGACCTTCAACTATAAAACCATCTAATGCTGTTACCCCAACTGTTAAAACCGTTCACTTTTAGTACCTAGACATGGACAGGGCTATTTTGTCCAACGTGGAGCGGGTTTGACCATGCCACGCTGGCGTTGACCATGCCACGCTGGCCCTCTCTTTCCTTCCGTTCCTGCGTGCGTGAAGGAGACAACGGCGGCGAGCTAGCTATAGCGATGGCACGCTAGTAGGCTGCGGCGGCGGCGCACGAGCAGGATACGGCGACAGTCGCCTCCCTGCGCCAGACCAAGCTCACCATGGAGCTCCGGCGAGGACAGGGGCTGCCGCCGCCGGGTTGCTGCGACTCTCTCTTCTCCAACGACTCCCACGCCCGCGCACGCGTTCTCTAGTGACTCGGCCTCCGTTCGTGCCGCCGTTCCATTGCTGTGGGAGAGCGAGGTACAGACGCCATGGATTTTCGGCTATAAATCATGGCGGAGTTCATCCAGCCGAGAACGACGTCTCTTAGCCACCGCCATCGTCGACGCAATCCATGCCAACATCACTTGCGGCTAGCCATGGAGGAACGACTCAGCTCAAGGCGGGCGCAGACTGATGGATCCGGCATCTCGCACCCTGGCCCAATGCTGCGTCGTCTCAACAAAGGTCTGGCGGTGGCCGACATGGAGACAATGAGAAAGGTGGCCGGCAAGAAGAGGGAGAGGAAGCGCAGCAGCCGAGAACCAGAGGTAGTGGAAGCGACCGGATCAAGGGGATCCTGGGCGTGCGCTACAGGCGAGAGCTGACAGGGTTGATGGGGCCTCATCCGACGCCGGGATGGCCTGGACAGGAGTGGCTAGGGCCGCCGCGCCAGCACCCCGCCTGCGTCGGGGCCGCTGGGGCCTCCACCCACGTCGGGAGGAGGAGGGAGGTGCGGGGGTCGCCCGTGAACGGTCTCCTCCTCACCAGCTACCGCCACTGCCAAACCGCGCAGGCGCAGCCGGCGGCGCCCGTGGTCGCACGGGTGCGCGAGGGCCCTGGGTAGGCTACATCGCCATCGGCCGCTCTTCCCCTGGCTGGAATCAGCAGTGCCGAGCGCGCACTCTGTTATGCTTCCGTGGGGAAGAAGGGGGAAATCTCGTAGGTGCTGAGGAGCACGCCACGAGCCGCCGCCCTGGCCCGCTTGCTTGCGTGGCTCCACCATCGTCTGCCGTGCCGCCGAGACGGAGCCACCGTCGCCCCGAGGCTAAGCGCCACCCCCTCCTCGGATGCTAAAGCCCTTCACGTCGAAGCCGCAGGGGCGCCGCGAGCCACTGCAGTGCCTAGCCACCAAATTGGGATGAGCGCCACCGGAGACGGACTGCATCCCCGCCGCTGCCCGTGCTCTCTTCCCTCTGCCCGATTGTTGCTGCCTTGCGCCCCGCGACCCCGGCCATCTCCAACGCTGCCGTCGGAGCCGAGGCCGTCACCGTCGTTGCGCCCTTCTCCCCTTCTGCACCGCCAAGCCAGGCTTGCGCCAGAGCCACGCCGCCGGCGCCCTGTGCTCTACTTCCACCGGCGCGCCTCCTTCCCCTCTCTCTCTCTCTCTCTCTTGCGGTTGGGAACGGATGCGAGCCGAGGGCCACCACCGACCCTGTGCCGGCCAAGACCACTGCCGACCGCCGCTGCTCTGCTCTCTCTCGCTCTGCCCGGTGTGAGGGAGGGAATGAGTGGGTGACGCGTGGGCCCCACATGTCGCTGAGATACAGGCCAGTGTCCTACGTGGCGGTCAACGCCAGCGTGGCGTGGTCAAAATTGCTCAACGTCGGTCAAAACAACCTTGCCCCCGCTCAGGTGCTAAAAGTGAACGGTTTTGACAGTTGGGGTACCGGTACTAGACGGTTTTGTAGTTGAGGGTTAAAATTAGACCAGCACAATAGTTAAGGGGCCAAAAGTGAACTTAATCCTGTACTTTATTATTGAGGCGTGCCGGATTGGGATGGGTGGGCGGCCGCACAGCGCGAAGCCGTGACGGACAGTGGGGAGATGAGCTTGCATAGGGAGATTTGATTTTTTATTTCTCAGGTCCGGACGAACGCCGGTGGCCAAGTATTACCGTTGAACTGCTCCCTAAAAAAAAGTATTACCGTTGAACTTTTGATCCCCAGTTGGCGGCGTAGCATGTTTTGATGTCACAACAAGCTTGCTTACATCATGACCACTCATGTTATTGAAAGAAATGCAGAACTCCACATCCCAGCGAAAGACTAAAAGTACCTCGTTGAATTTCTAAACTTGTACAGTTTTAATGTGCAGATATACAGGTGCACTTGTGCTACTTATAATTGTGGTTAACCAATATGCAACGTAGGTGTTCTACGTGGTTGTCCTATCGAGTTGTTTGTAGAAGGCGTGGTTGCAAATTCCTGAGGACAAGTCTGGCAAACAACATGGTTGGGCGTACAACTTATTATGCTATTATTTGAAATTAGCTATATTTGTTAAATTTAATTGGACTTGGTTTAACTTTATTTTAGTTAAATTCCAAAGACCATAATAAATAAATGCTATATGTAATAAAGAATTAATTCAGTATAAAAAATTGACAAGAGATCGAATCAACTTTAATAAGTAGCTAAACTGGCTATTTTGTCTACCCGATGAGGTTAGAAAAAGTGAAAAGTAATATATACCCACGCACAGGCCAACGTGCATGAGCTCAAGGTTAGGTAGCCAGATGACGACACGAATAGTGTGACATCGATAAAGATTCTAAGCTCCGTACTATCACCGTCGGCGTCATGACAAAGAAGGATGTATGTATAAGGGCAGCTTCAACGCAGCATACAATAATAATAGTCTCACAATGATGGGGACGTGATTCCTGATCTTTTGTCAGATTGATGATAACTATCGTTTTGGTAGAGCGTAACACACCGATCCGGCTTCAGATTAAAAGACTCGAACCCTACAATCTTAGCACCACGACTCCTCAAGAATAAAACAGGTATGGGAGGTGATGAATGGAAAACTGCTTTCAAAACCAAGTTCAGCTTGTATGAGTGATTAGTAATGTCTTTTGGGTTAACTAATGCACCTGGCACTTTTCATGAGATTAATGCATGAGGTTTTACGTCATTTTATTGGCAAATTTGTGGTGATTTATTTT